GAAATGGTCCCTCTACGTCAACTGATTACAAAGCAGCAGAACAAAAGTGCAACTTTTATTTAAAGTGCTTTTTGGAGTGATATTTGGAATTCAACAGATGACATTATATCTTTTAAGGAATTTGTATTCCACTTTCAAGAGAATAAATACCATAGCTTTGTCCTAATATCCCAGCTGAGGCAAGATTTCATCTTTGAGAAAATTTGCCTCTTGGGCCAAATTCACAAGCCATCAATGCTGAATCAAATCAATGTAAAGAACTGTGTATATATTGTAATTTCATTTCATTTTTTTAAATAAATTGTGCTTTGAATTATACTTCCTACACTGGTTTATATAACTTCAGCAATTTATATGAAAATAAAACAACTCATTGAATCATTAAAGTTTACGCCCTACACTAGACAACAGACACACACCAAACTAGTCCTGCACCTAAAGGCATCACAAAAATGAATGCCACCAGTACAATTTTTTTTAACACAGATGTTTCTGCATTTTGTTTACCTCCTACACAAGACCAGTCATTTCATTACACCTCAGCATTAAACTTACAGCTGACCACAGTCAGTACGCCGTAGAGACACTGAGAGAAAGGGCCTGACTCAGTCACTTCTGCGGCTCGTACGTGGTTTGAAATGTGCATGTTTAACTTTCTTCTGTTCAGACATGGACTAGTCAGTAAGTGGACTAAAGATTATGATGGGGTGTATGAAGGTTTTATTTTTTTTTAATCTTACCCTGCCTCACTTAATTTCTAATATGGACAACTACAAGACTACTCAATTGAAAGCTCAATGCTGCAGCTCATCATTATCCAATAATACTGAGGTACCACCGTATCAAAATGATACAGCATTCATTTCAGGACACCAAAGAGTGAGGTCATGCAATAGCCTGATAAGAGCTGTATTCCAATCTTTTTATCTTTTTAAGTTTATTTGCAATGTTTGTGTTCCTGTTGCCACAGTCTTAATAGGTCATCTGAAACATAACTATTGTTGCTAAGGTTAGTTAGGTGCAGTTTAATACACCTCAATCAGTCTTTCCCAAAAAAAAATTCTGGGGGCCCACTTTTTTAAAAATAATAAACCGTGGTGACCCAATTCACAGTGAGAAGACCAAATTTGTGCACTTTTACTTAAAAATTACTTCAAAAGTTAAATACTTTAAGACCTAATGAATTAATTTAAGCGGAGTTACTGTAACAGGCCGTCTCATTGTTTTTATTTCCTCTCGTCAGTAAAACAACACTAATTAATAAATGATACAAAATAAAAGCATTTAGGTGAAGCAAAAAATTCTGAAAATGAACATAAGACAAATGACCTTTCTGCGACCCAGTCTCCTGGAATGAATGACATACGTATACTTTACCAAGTACAGTGTGTGTAAGGCTACATTGTAGAACCTGCCCTTTGAATGGCCATTCTGTGCCAGTGATTATATAGCTATAAAACTGCAGCAGGCAGCAGAGCACTGCGTTTTGAGATATGAGCACAGAGTCCTCCACACAGCTGAACTGTGTTTTACCGTCCAGTGTGTAATATTGAGGAGGAACTATTGGCAGAAAAGGA